CTGACTCCAGAGCCAGACTTTTTAATTCTAATCGTTTAAGATACCTATACACAAATGTATAGAATATAAGAAAATTCAGTCTCGTAGATATCACTGAGATTTAGAAGAATGAAAGTTGTGAATGGAATATGATGATTCAAGGCCATACCAATATTCAAGAGAAACATTTATTTTTTAATGTAAATAGTATTTTATTTTTTCCAATTATATGTGAAGATAATTTTCAAAATTCATTTTTTATTAGATTTTTAAGTTCCAGACTTTTCTCTCATCTTCATTTTCTTTCCCCCTCCCCAAGATAGTAAGCAATCTGATATAGGTTATATATGTGCAATCACATAAAACATATTTCAATGTTTGTCATGTTTTAAAAAGAAGAAACAGAACAAAAGGGAAAAAAATACACAAAGAAAAAACAAAGAAAATGAAAATAGTATGCTTCGATCTGCATTCAGACTCCATCAGTTCTTTCTCTGTATATGGATAGCATTTTTCATCACGAGTCTTTTGAAATTGTCTTGGATAACTGTACTGCTGAGAAGAGCTAAATCAGTCATAGCTGATCATCACACAATGTTGCTGATATTGTGTATAATGTTCTCCTGGTTCTGCTCATTTCACTCAGCATTAGTCCAAGTAAGTGTTTCCAGGTTTTTCTGAACTCTACCAGCTCATCATTTCTTATAGCACAATAGTATTCCATTACATTCGTATACCACAACTTGTTCAGCCATTCCCCAATTGATGGGCATCCCCTTAATTTCCAATTCTTTGCCACCACAAAAAGAGCTCCTTTTAATATCTTTGTACATGTAAGTCCTTTTCCCTTTCTTACGATCTCTTTGGGATACAGACCTAGTAGTGGTATAGCTGGGTCAATGGATATGCATGAAACTTTGGGCATAGTTTCAAATTGTTCTCCAGAATGGTTGGGTCAGTTCACAAGTCCACCAACAATGCATTAGTGTCTGGGGTGGGGGCTGGGGGGGGGGATTTCTTAACCAAAAAATAAATCACAAAAGACACAACAGATAATTTCAATTGCTTGGAATTTAATTATCCTGCTATCCTATTTGCTATTCCTCACACAGGACTCCATGTCAGATTTTCATTCCTTTGTACTGTGACTGTTCCTGATTCCTGAAATGCTCCCACTTCTGCCTCTTGGAATCCCAGGCTTCCTTTAAAACCCACATCTATAATCATTTCTTCCAAGACACCTTTTCTGGTCTCTGTAACTGCTAGCACTTTCTCCCCTAAACTATCATCTACCTTCTTTATATTTATCTTGTCTTCACCTATTTATGTACATGTTATTTCTCCCATAAAGTGCTTTAGGGCAGGAAATGGTTTTGCTTTTTCTTTGAATCCCCACATGACTATAGTAAGCACTTAATAAATGCTTCTTAATTGATTACAAAAATTTTTGCAGAAACAATGCATTGAATTTTTGCAGAAAAAATGCACTGAATAAGAAAGGAAATTGTTAACTGGGAGAAAAATTTTATATCAAATACCTTTGATAAGGGTTGGTATCCAAGATATGTACAATTAATATGTGTGTGTGTGTGTGTGTGCACGCGCGTGCGTGAGAGAGAGAGAGAGAGAGAGAGAAAGCAAAAGCCATTCCCTATTAGATAAATGGGTCAAAGTATATAAACAAACAGTTCTCAAAAGAATTGCACAATACTAACAATCATATGAAAGAATGCTCAAAATCACTAATAATAAGAGAAATGCAAATCAAAACAACACTGAAGTTTTTTACCTTACAATCAGAAAACTGACTAAGATGACAAAAAATATATATGTAACAATGTGAGAGGGGTTGTGGAAAGATAAGCACATTAATGCATTGTTGATGGAGCTATGAATTAATACAATAATTTGGGAAAGCAACTGGGAATTATGTAAATAAAGTGGTTAAAATATTCATACTCTTTGACCCAGAGATTCCACTAAGAGGCATAAGCTCCAAGGAACATAAAAAATTTAGTAAAAAAAAAGTCCCCATATGCATCAATTATTTATAGCACCATTCTTTATGGTAGTAAAGAACTGGAAACAAAATAGATACACACATCAATTCAGTAATGGATAAACAAATGTGATACATGAATATAATGAAATAATACTGTGCTGTACAGAACAACAAATACAGTGAATGCAGAGAATAATGGAAAGACTTACATGAATGATGCAAAGTGAAGTAAGTAGAACCAAGAAAATAATATACACAATGACTTTACCAATGTAAAAGTTAAGAAAAAGAACAACAACATAATAAAAAATGAGTTTTGTAAAATTACAAAGAACAAGCTTGGCTGCAAAGAAGGGACATGAGAAGTCACCTCCTCCCTCTTTCATAATTGTGGGAGGGGGTAATGCACAGATGTAGAACATTACATATATTGTAAGGTTTGATGATCAATTTTGTGGGTTTTTTTCCCTTCTTCTATCTCTCTCTTCCTCTCTCTCTCTCTCTAAGACAATTAGGGTTAAGTGACTTGCCTGGGTGCACACAGTAAGTGTCAAGTGTCTGAGACCAGTCCTCCTGACTCCAGGGCCAATACTCTATCTGCTGTGCCACCTAGTTGCCCCTCTTCTTTCTTTTTTTTTTTTTAATCCTTTGCTATACAGAATTATTTAAAAATAGCTCTCTGGGAAGGAGAGGAGTACAGGGGAAAATTTGAGTAACAAAAAAGATATAAGTAAAAATTAATTTTAAAAAAGAAAAATACAAATTAAAATAACTCTTAGGTTTTATCTTACATCTAGCAAATTGGTAAAGGTGGCAAAAAATGAGAATGGTCAATGTTATAGAGATTGTGGGGAAAAGGCCCCACTAATACACTGCTGGTGGAGTGGTGAATTAGAGCAACCACTCTGGAAGGTAATTTGGAATTAAATTAAAAAGTGACTATTAATGTCCCTACCTTTCGACACAGAGTTTCCATTGGTAGACACATATCCTAGAGAGGTCAATGATAAAAGGAAAGGTCCCATAGGCAACAAAATATTTATAATAACACTTTTTATAGTAGCAAGGAATCAGAAACAAAGTAGATAACCTTTGGATAATGACTAAACAAATTGTGGCACATGAATATAATAGATTATTATGTTATAAGAAATAATGAATATAACAGAAAAGCACGGGATAGCTTGTATGAACTGAAACTAAGTAAAATAAACAGAAACAGAAAAACAGTATACATAGTGATTACAGCAGTGTAATGCTTAGTTCAACTGAGATGATAATGATGCTTTCCTCTCTCTCTCTCTTCCCCTCGTCTTCTTGCTTTCTCTCCCATAGAGAGTGAATTCCTATTATAGAGTCTTTCTGTTCTTTAAGGTTTTGTTTATACTTTATGTACAAACATTTATTAACACCAATGCCAATTGGTTCAAGAAATAATCCTAACTGCTCCTAATACTGTAGGAGAAGGTGATGGAAGAGAAAAGGGTCTGTGAATGACCTCTTGATAAAAAGGTAAAGGAAAAAAGGGAACAAGCCTCTTGGGGACCAGTTTGATGACATCACTAGAAGATATTAAGGGCCCTGCAGGATCAGAGGCATGAATTGCTTATCCATGTATTGGATCTGGCCACATATTTTCCCTATGCATATCCACTCTTCCCACTAATAGTAAGCATATTTGCAGGAGAGAGAGATGGAGAAAGAGAGAGACACAAAGAGAGGGACAGAGACAGAGAGAGAGACACACAGAGAGATGGAGAGAGACAGAGACAAAGAGAGAGTATTCTCTAAGTTTATGAGGAAAATGATACTTTTCTTACTATGTTATTTCATTATGTCTTTGCTTTCAATTAATTATGTACTCTTGCTGACTAATTTTTGTTTTTGTCATTCAGTCGTTTTTCAGTCATGTCTGACTCTTCATGATCCCATTTGGGATTTTCTTGGCAAAGATACTGGAGTGGTTTGCCATTTCCTTCTCCAGCTTATCTTACAGATGAGTAAACTAAGGCAAACAGGGTTAAGTGACTTGCCCAGGGTCACACAGCTAAAAATTATGTGACGCTGCATTTGAACTCAGGAATATGAGTCTTCCTGACTCCAGATCAGGCACTCTACTGAGCCACCTAGCTGCCTTTGTTGACTCATAAAGGTGTACAAATTGATGAGAACTTCTAAACTATGGTTTTTAGTGAGTTTGGACCCACAGAAAATATGAAACTGAGGGTAGCCTTGTCTGGGGACACCCACTTTGAGTTAAGGGAGTGTCCCCAGGTGCTACATAAAGCAAAGGACCTAATATTAGCACTATCCACAAGTGGAATGGGATGACTTAGGTGACAATAGATTCCCCCTATCTGGAGGCCTTCAAATTGAAGATTAGTTTATGTTATATAGAGGTTCCCTCAGGTATGTGTGAGACTAGATGATCTCTGAGGTGCCTTCCAACTCTGAGAAGCCACAATTCTGTAAGAACACATGTCATGAGACCCGCATGAACTACAGTACAGGATATGAAGGAGACTTGTGAATAGGAAAATTTCCAGAGTATGAAAGAGGTGCTTTGAGACTAAAAATGGGAAAGTGTTACCTGGGTTTTCAAAAGAAGAAAGATAGTAGATTTTTCAAACTATAAGGGGAAGGGGAAGGGGACAAGCATTTATTAAGTTTCTACTGTGTGCCAGACACTGTACTAAGTGTTTTTACAAATATTATCTCATTTAATTCTCTTATTGTCCCCATTTTACTATTAAGTAAACTGAGACAGAGTTAAAGTGACTTGCCAAGTATCACATGGCTTGTAAGTGTCTGAGATCAGATTTGAATTTGGGTCTTCTAGGCCCAGCATTCCATAAGCCAGAGAGTTTGACCTTGATTCCTTACAAAATTCTAAAATGTATTTTATAAGGACAGATTGCAAACATATAGAAAGGAAAGTGTTAAAAAAAAAAAACCAGTAAGTCATGTCAGACTAACTTGATTTCTTTCTTTCTTTCTTCCTTTCTTCCTTTTTAAACAGGATTATTAGATGGGAAGATCAAGAAAATTCCGTAGGCATAGTAAACCTGAATTTCAACATGGCATTTGATAAAGTCTTTCATGATACCTTTGTGGACAGGATGGAAAAGTGTGGGGTAAATTATCGTATAGTCTGGTGGATATGGAATTGGTTCAGTGACTGGACTCAAAGAATGGTAATTAATGGATTCATGTCAACCTCTTTAAAGAACTCTAGTGGAATTCATTGGAATCCCATAATTAGTCCTTTTCCATTCAATAGAGCATTTCTAATACATAGCAGATCACACAAAAAGGCCTATGAAATGGTGAATCACTGTTTCATACCACTTGCTTTTTTTTAAGTGCCAGGCTTCTCTTCTTATCTGTGAATTTTTTTAAAATTCTGCAGTGGTCCTTTTTGACCTATTACTAACAACACCCTTCCCCAATTACCCTTCTCAACTAAGAAGCCTAGAAAAGAAAAAGAAAAAAAAACCCTTGTAACAACTAAGTAGAATCAAGCAAAATGCATCCATACAGTGGTCATGTCTAAAAATATATGTCTCTTTCTGCACCTAGAGTCCAACACATCTCACTCAAGAAGTGAGCAAGATGCTATCGTTCTGGAGAAATAGTTGATCGTTAAACTAAGTGGAGTTCTTAGGTCTTGCAAAGATATTTTTTTTCTTTACATAAAGTGTTGTCTTTGTATAAATGGTTCCCCTGGTTCTGCTTATTCTGAAATCATCTCTTTCAGAATTATTCATGGTTAATAATATTCCATTACATTCCTATACCAACATTCCCAGTTTGTTCAGCTATTCCCCAATTGCTGGGCATCCCCTATAGTTGTATTTCTTTTCTTTTCTTTTCTTTTTTCCTTTTAATCCTCCTTCAAGATCAGGAAGTGTTTGCTTTTGACCCTTCCCTACCCTGTATTATCCTTTCTTAATGACCAATACTACCTCTTCATCCTGGTTTGTTTCCCTATTGAGTTTGCTGTATTGCTACACTAAATTATTTGTGTGTTTGTTCAACCTTCCTTTGCCTATTTCAGATAAAAGTGAGGTTCATCAGAGGGCCTCTCTCCCATCCTACTCCTTCTATGTTTGTATACTCTTCTCCTCATGAACAAGAGAAATAGCAAGTTCCACCTCCTTTCTTTTTATAATAGTAAATTCTTTTCAAAATTTTCTTTTTCATTTTTTTCCAGATCAGCAAGGATTTAATTTTTTAATTCAATTTTATTTTATATTCAGGTTCTAATTCTCTCCCTCCTTTTTCCCTCTGTTCCTCCCTCATTGAGAAAACAGGAAAAAAACTGTTATAAACATGTGTAGTCAAACAAAACAAATTCTTGCATGGACCATATCCCAAAAAAAAACACGAGCTTCAATCTACACTCTGAATCCATCACTCCTCTATCTGGAGATGGGTAGCATATTTCATCTTGAGTTCTCTGGAATTGTGATTGGTCATTTTGTTTATCAAAGTTCATAAGTCTTTCACAGTTGTCTTTACAATATTGTTGTTATTATATAAATTGTTCTCCTTCACTTCACTTTGCATCAGTTCATACAAGTCTTTCTATGTTATTTTAAAACCATCTCCATCATTACTTATAGCACCATAATATTCCATCACCTTCATGTACCACAATTTGTTCAGTCATTCCCCAGTTGAAGAATACCCTCTTAGTTTCCAATTCTTTGGCACTACAAAAAGAGTTGTTATGCTTTTTTTTTTTTTTACATATAAGTCCTTTTCCTCTATCTTTGATCTCTTTGAGGTATAGACTTAGTAGTGACATGCTGGGTCAAAGGATATGCAGAGTTTTATAGCCCTTTGGGCTTAGTTAATAGCTAATTAATAGCTTTGGGGACATAGTTCCAAACTGCTTTTTAGAATGATTGGACCAGTTTACAATTCTGCCAACAGAGAATTAATATACCTACTTTCCTGCATCCCCTTTGGCATTTGGCATTTTCCTTTTTTTGCCAACCTACCCAATCTGATGGTTATGAGGTGATAACCTTGGAGTTGTTTTAATTTACATTTTTTAAATTATCAGCGATTTAGAGCATTTTTTTATATAGCTGTTAATAGCTTGGATTTCTTCCTTGGAAAACTGTTTTTTCATATCCCTTGACAATTTTTCAATTGCAAAATATAGATTCCTTTTCCTTTTTTTTCTCTTTCCACTCTTAAAATTCAGAACAGAACCAATTCATCCCCTGGTACTCTGTTTTTCCTTTTTGATTCCCTTAATAACTTTTGAATTCATTAGGCTCTGAAGAGACACTTGTTTCTTCTCTCCTTTTAGTCTTACATCATCATTCAGCCCCTCCCAACTGCCCATATAAATATATCTTTCTAGATTTATGCTGCTCTCCAGAGCTTCCAAAGACCCCCACTAAGGGTTTACAATGACCATGGGACTTGGGTGGGGAAAGTTCCCTTATCTTGCTGTCTCCAGGTCAAGAGCCCTGCAAGCTACATGTGATTTTGGCCAGTTTCTAGCCATGTTGGGAAGCTACACACTTCTTTGCCTTTATGAGTACTGGCTTTGCTGATAACCACCTTTCCTAACATCTGTGGGCTTCTGGCTGAGTTTTTATATTGTCCCTAGGGTGGAAGAAATCGTTTCTTGTTGTTTCTCATTGGGTTCCTTAATCATTATTTATTGTGAATTTCAGGTTTTTACTAGAGCCTTGTAGTCTGCCTCTATTCAGGCAGCCTTCCTGGCAGGAAGTTCCTTATCCCCATTTTATAGATGAAGAAACTGAGGTTCAGAAACATTAGGTGACTTGCACATTGTCAAATAACTAGTAAACAATAGAGGCAAGGTTTGAGTCCAGGTCCAATTCTATCCATCTTCCAGGCTGCCTCTCAGGATGTCACAAAAAGTTTGATCAACAATTAATGGATCTGGCTGTGTGACACAGGCAAATCACTTAACACTGATTGCCTCACCAAGAAAAAAAAAGCAAAAAAAAAAATTAATGGATGTTTAACCTAGAGAAGAAAATATTTAGAGGAAGGATATTAAACAGCTCTTCAAATATCTGAAGGGCTGTCATTTAGATTAGGGATCACAATGGTTTTTCTTGAACCCAGAGAAGTGGGGTTAGCAGGAATTGATTGAAGAAGAGAGGCAGGTTTTGCTTAATGAAAATCTTCTCAATACGCTTGTTAAGTGGGATAGGTTGCCTTGGTAGTTTCACCATTGCTGGAGGTCTTCAAGCAGAGGGTAAATGGTCAGCTGGCAGGATACTGTCAAGATCAGACCTGTTCATTTGTTAATTGGACTAGATGATTTCTCCAATCCCTTTTACCTCTTAGATTCTAGAGTTTATCATGTGATAATGTGATTTTGGCCAGTTTCTAGCCATGATGGGACATGGCACATGTTGGGACATGGCTAGAAATTAAAACAACTCTGAGGTTATCACCTCATACCCATGTGACAATATCAAGTGATGATATCATTTATCATGTGATCGATTCTTACTTCTCTGTGAGAACACATGCACACATACACACCATACTCTATTTTATGCTTTACACAGTATAATATTATTTTTTTCTTTTCTTTTTCTTTTCTTTTTTTTTTGCAAGGCAGTTGAGATTAAGTGACTTGCCCAGAGTCACACAGCTAGTAAGTATCAAGTGATCAAGTGTCTGAGGATGGATTTGAACTCAGATCTTCCTGACTCCAGACGCCACCTAGCTGCCCCTAAAAGACCACAAATTTTTTTTTTTTTTGGTGAGGCAATCAGGAGTGACTTGCCCAGGGTCCCACAGCTAGTAAGTGTCAAATATCTGAGGCTGGATTTGAACTCAGGTCCTCCTGACTCCAGGGCTGGTGCTGCCCCTAGCTGCTCCATTATTATTTTTTTTCTTCAAAATAATGCCATTAGTCAATATACATGGTACTAGTCTATATTTACCTATGGACTCTAGTGGACTTTTGGGTCCACTGAAAAATATATCAAGACCTGATCCTGACATTGAAGGCCCTTGATAATTTGGCCCCAATATACCCTCCAATTCAGTTCAAGAAACATTTATTGAATGGGCTACTATATGCAAAGCATTGATGGGCACTGGAGGATACAAAAACACAAGCTAGTCCTTCCCTCAAGTGGCTTACATTTATTTGCATTTTAGCTTTCCAACTTTATTTCATATTATTATCTTTCACATACTCAATGTTCTAGCCAGACTGCGAGCGTCTCATATCTAGAATACTTCAACAATTGAGGACATCATGATTTTTGTTTGCCAGATGCTCTGATTGCTCTTGCATTTTTCCAAAGTGACATTTACATAATTCCATCTGCCCAAGTTTTCTCTTTTTACCACCACAATGCTTCCATGTTAGGACATTCAAGAATGTTATACATACTTGCCCAGAATTCCTGCAACCTTCTCAAATCATGAAAATACCCTCACTATATAGCCAGTTTATTTTTGTTTTTATTTTTTACTGTCAGGCTCTCTGTGACCCCAAAACTCCAATGAAAAGAAAATAGGAAGGAATTCCAAAGAGTAGGGCTACCGGCATCTCTTAGAATCCTTTCTCCCTGTCACTAGTCAAGACATCATCCTCATGATGTCATTGGTCCTCTTCAAGAATGAGAGACAAAGGGGCAACTAGATGACACAGTGGATAGAGCACCGGCCCTGAAGTCAGGAGGACCTGAGTTCAAATCCAGCCTCAGACCAAACACTTGACACTTACTAGCTGTGTAACCCTGGGCAAGTCACTTAACCCCAATTGCCTAAAAAAAAAAAAGAAAAAAAAGAATGAAAGATGAACAATAACAACAGCTTCAGGCAGGTGAAGTGGGGCCTGAGGCCCACATGTGAGGGAACATGCGTTTAGGACAGCTAAAAAAGCTCTTAAAGTCACTAAGTATTGGAGATCAGAGCAAGTTCTTAATGTCAGCTTTCAAATGGAAGAAGTTTCTCCTACATAGTTGTCATTTTCAGCCCAGAGTCACCCTAGCAACCAACCAACATGAAGTGCTGTCACTCATGGCATGATGGCAGCCAACCAAATCATTTTATTACTGTAGATTACTATCATTAGTAGTCAAGACATATGTCTCTATTTTAACAACAGGCTTCTTTCTTCTCTTATTCAGAGTTGAGGGAGAAAGAATGGACATGGGTCTTGGTCATGCAATGGATGACAGCAGACTTCCTCTGGTTATCCCAACAGTCCTGGTGCCACTTCAGAACAACAGCCAGCCCAAGACATCGACGCCTCTGATAGGTCGTGATATGACAGAATTATACAAAGAACACAAACTGGAAAGAAATGACACCAATTTAGCATATGAACCGATGCCAGGAGAAATCGCCACAGTCAGCGTGATTTTTGGGATTCTGTGGTTGTTTTCTGTCTTTGGAAATGCCCTGGTTTGCTTGGTCATCCACAGGAGCAGGAGGACTCAGTCCACCACCAACTACTTCGTGGTTTCATTAGCATGTGCTGACCTCCTCATCAGTGTGACCAGTGCTCCTTTTGTCCTACTGCAGTTTACATCTGGTAGATGGACCCTGGGTAATGTCATGTGTAAACTAGTAAGATACTTTCAACACCTCACACCAGGGGTACAGATCTACGTGCTCCTTTCCATCTGTGTAGACCGGTTCTATACCATAGTCTACCCTCTGAGCTTCAAGGTGTCCAGAGAAAAAGCCAAGAAAATGATTGCAGCATCTTGGATCTTTAACGCTGCCTTTATGTCCCCTATATTCTTTTTCTATGGCTCCAGTTGGGATCATCATTGTAATTTTTTCCTCCCATATTCTTGGGATGGGACTGTCTATAGTATTATTCATTTTCTGATGGGTTTTGTGATTCCATCATTCTTCATCATCATATTCTACCAGAAGGTCATCAAATATATTTGGAGGATAGGCATTGACAGTCGAACAGTGAAGAGGACGATGAACATTGTTCCAAGGACAAAAGTAAAAACTATCAAAATGTTCCTGATGTTGAACCTAATATTTTTGCTCTCCTGGCTTCCTTTTCATGTGATCCAGCTATGGCATCCCCATGAAAGAGACTATAGGAAAAGTTCCTTGGTTTTCACAGTGATCACTTGGATATCATTCAGCTCTTCAGCCTCCAAGCCTACCTTATATTCCATTTATAATGCCAACTTCAGGAGAGGGATGAAGGAGACTTTTTGTATGTCCTCAATGAAATGCTACCGAAGCAATGCCTATACTATCACAACCAGTTCGAGGGTGGCCAAAAAAAATTATGTTGGCATTTCAGATATCCCTGTCACAGCCAAAACTGTAACCAAAGACTCAATATATGACTCATTTGACAGGGAAGCCAAGGGAAAAAAGCTTGCTTGGCCCATTAATTCAAATCCACCAAATACTTTTGTCTAATTCCTCTCTATTCTTTTGATAACTATTATGCACCAAATAGACTAAAAAGCTTTAAAACTTCAGGAATGGATGGATATTTACTTTTTTGCATACAAATTTTAGGGGGGAAGGCTTTATTTTGTTAAGATGTATTGATTTAATTGTAATATGGCATTTTTTAATAATTTTAGTTACTTCCTAGTTTTTTGAGGTTCATTTACCTTGGAATTTATGTTGACTGTATTTTATGGATATGAAGTAGACTGTATTGGATGTAGTCCATTAATGGTTTAAAAAAAAACCCATAAACCTAGCCAAGGCCATATAGTACACATAAAAATACTTTTTTTAAGTGTTACTTTTCTTTGATAAAAAAGTGTTTTGCAATTCTAGGACTTCCATCACATGGTTTAGTTTTCACTTTTCATACGTTTGACTTCTATGAGATAACCCCAGGTTAATATTGTTTACTTGCCTTATGAAACCAACATTCTTCCAGATACTCCAATTTGGGTTCACAATGGGAATCATGGATGACTTTGGAGAACAGCATGTACCCTTATTCAATAATCAGTTTTGACTCTAGATTCTTGATCTCCTTCTTACTTTCTAATTCTTTCTTATTTAAGGCAATTGGTGAAGCCCCAACAGCTTTAGCAATCAATAATTTCTTCCCATTTGTTTCTAATCTGGGTTGCATTTGGAATGTTAATTTCCTTTCTCTGATTTAAATATTATTGATGCAAACTAGCAGGTGCATGTGCTGTGCCCAGAAAATGCCAAGGGTGGGAGTGGCAAATGACTTTCCCCTTTATTCGGTAGTTCATAATGAAATCGTGTGCTTCTCTTATCCCCTCCCCTCTTCTCCATCCCAACAATGATATGAGAGTAAAGAACCCACCTTTCTTTCCAAGACCCCAAAGCCCCAGAACAGAAAGCATCTTCCCAGCCAAGTCCATTTCCATCTCATCACTTTTCAGGTCACATTTAACATTCTTCAGACCTAGGCTATCCTGTCACTTTTACAGGCCTGTATTCTTGAGCCCCTATCTCTGGTATCCATCTTTCTCCTCTCCCCATCCATCCAACTTGTTTTTAGTTTAAAAAAAATAGAAAGCTCATAATAAATCCTTGCATGTTTATCAAATATCCCCACATTTAGATGGTGGCCTTGGTTTACTTCTTTCACATTAGCTTCATTTGTAATTGAGTAGTGGGTACTAAGTAAGACCCACAGACCATCAGCAAACAACACTCTTCAACACCATGGGGCTTTATGGGAGGGGAATGATTACACACACACACACACACACACACACTCACACACACACCTTTCCAAAGAAAACATAGTATGTTTTGCCTCTTTTTTTTATTGCCTATTAGTAGGCAATTGTGGTGAGTGAGCACTTTTCATTTTTATCTCTAGAAAGTTGCTGCCCCCATACAGCTAAAATTCCCTCATCTTAAAGATAAAGTGGAACAGGAGAATAGGGATCAAGGGAAGGAGGAGATTGGTGGTGTTAAGTAGAGGCAACAATATTTTTTTGGACACTTTTTGCAAGCCACAGGTTCCTGAGCCACCCAGTAAAACTAACCTTATAAACGCAATGATTTGCCTCCATTAACAAGTTCCAAAGCCAACAAAGACATTCTATGTGCCCATTCACTCTTCCCCCAAACCCTTCTGGGTTTCTGTGGTCTATTATTTCAGACTCTTCTCAAACTATTGCCTCTCAGTCCTAAAGCTGAATAAGCAGGCTGTGTGGCACATTTGGTTGAAAATTTGGACAAATTCCCAAAACTTCAAAGAACAACATTCAATCTCCTATTTGCCTAGCAACAGCCAAGAGTTAAAAACATGAGCAGCTGGGAGGTGGGTGTTTTTTATTCATCTTCATTAGGTAGCTAAGAAAACTGCAGCCTGATCCCCAAGATCTCACATATACTTGACCTGGCACATCCATGCACGCTATCATCCTGTACTTCTCCATTTCTTATTTAGACTCCTGGAAAGAGTTATCCATTTGTATTATTGCTTCTGTTCCCATACCTATTCACATCTCAGGCCGAGAGTCTTAGTGTCCTCTGCTAACTCAAATGGCCCTCTCTCAGTCATCATCTTAAATCTGACCTCTCAGCAGAGAGTTCTGTGGAACTGTTGGACCCCCACTTCTCCAGGATATTCCTCTTTTCCTTTGGAATACTGCCTTCTCCTGGTTCTCCTCCTACCAGTCTGACCACCCCTTCTCAGTCTCTAATCATCATCCCTATCCCACTCTCTTTCCTTCTCTCTTTTATATATCTCTCCTAAGCAAAGATGATTTTCATTATCTCCTCTATGCGGAGGATTCAAATTTGTGTTTCCAGACCGAATTTCCCACCTGAATTCTAGTGCCCCTTGCTAACTAACTGTTAGATATCTCCACTTGGATGTCCCATCAGCATCTCAAGTATAGCATGTCCAAAACAGAACTCACTTCCTTTCTCCCCTTAACCCAACATCCCTCCACTTTCCTACATTTACCACCATCCTTCCAGTCACACAGGTTCACAACCTTGGAGTCTTCCCTGACTCCTTCTCCTCATTAACCCCCTACATCTAATCAGTTACCAAGTCTTTTTCCTCTATCTGTGTAACATTTCTTGCATCTATTCCCTCCCTTACATTAAGAAGACCGCTACTCAAGGCCCTCATCACCCCTACAGCCTATTGCCACAGCTTCTGAATCGGTCTTTCCCTTTTATAATTTACAGTCCATGCAACTGCCAAATTGATATTCTAAGACATAAGTCTGATCATGTCATTCCTTTGCTAAAGAACCTTCCATAACTTTGGCATCCAAGATAAGACAGACATTCCTATGTCTGTCATTTAAAGTCATCCACAATCTGACTCCCCCTTTCCAGACTGATTTCATAGTACTCCCCTTCGTGCATGCTACATTCCAGATCTCTGACCTTTGTGCCTTTGCACAGGCTTGATCCCCATGCCTGGAATGTACTATTTCCTCCCTTCCACTTAGTAAAATCCCTAGCTTCCTTCAAGGCTCAGCTCAGATTGAGCTCCTGTGTTGAGGCTTACCTGATCTCCCTCCCTCCCTGCTACCATGTGAGTGAGTTCTCCCTCCTCAATTCTCCTTGCACTAAATTTATCTGTTTATATGTTGAGTTCCCCAGTAGAATGTAAGCTCCTTGAGGGCAGGAACTGTTTCATTTTTATTTTTGTATCTCCAGTGCCTACCAAAGTGCCATGCAAATAGTAGGCATGTAATAAATGTTTGTTGAATTGAATTTAATTGACTATGTAGAGTGATAAAGAGTCTACAAAGGAGATGACCTGAATTATATTGGGATAGAGCAACAAGAAGCCAATTGGAAGTAACATTCTTGCCCAGCACACAGATGCCCAAAGCTTGCCTTGGGCATCATTTACTTTTTTGTTCCTTTTTTCAGTTATGTATAAAATGAGAAATTTACACCACAACATTTCTAGTCCTTTCCCCCTCTAACATATTGTTGTTTCTATGCCCCTCAAATAAGGAGAAAGTCACACACCAACTGAAATGGTCTTTGATTTTTCCCTTTCCCAGGTATCATGCAGTGGGGACATGAGCTATTTCTAACTGCAAAACAGCCTTGCTTCCAGCACAGGTGTATGTTTTCTTATGTCTCCACTGCTTTACTCAGGGTGGCAGGAAGGGAAAAATGATGCCCTGTCCCAAAATCCTTCCTGAGAAAGAACAGATCTATATGGGGGTCATTCTGCAAAGGCATAACCACTGGACACATATATTTTGCAATCATTCAACTGACTACCCTGCTGCACCTTAGTAATACTCAGCTTTTCTGTAGGAGGCAACAGAGCTAAGAAGTTATTCACCACGTTGATTTGGTCTAAAGAAGAGACATAGACAATTCAAATTAGAAGGAATAAATGGCCTCATTTAACAAATGAGGAAACTGAGATTCAGAGAAATGAAGGAGTTTGCCCAAGCTCACACTATGACTTGGAGGCAAAGTTAAGACTAGAACGTAGGTGTATAGTTATCCCTTCCCCATTGTGGGGGCCAGGGGTGCTGTGCTTCTGCAATATGGAAAATCCACATAACAATTTTTGATCCTCCCTTTGTACCAGAGAAGAAATTTGAATTTTTTCTTTTTCTTTTATGGGTATTATAGTACCTTATTGTAAAATTTGGGTTAAGTACAATATTTTATGCATTTCTGAGTTTCTAAACTTTTTCTGCGTCATCTGCTAGCCCTCACGTATGTGTTTTCTGTGGCTTCTCCAAAACTCCCCCAAAATTCCCATTTACAGTAATTTCTTATGCTGATCTGTGATCTATCGAAACCAAGATGTAGAATGTGGAAACCACAATGTGGAATGGATAACTGTACTTTACACTAGGCTGTGTCCCAAAAAGGGAAGCTTTTACTTCTACCCTGCCTTATAGATGTGTCCTTTTTTTTTAATTTATTTTACTGGTTTCTGTTAAAAATCATTCAACTCTGTGACCCTGGGCAAGTCTCACTTTATCTTTCTATGCCTCAGTTTCTTCATCATAAAAGAGGTGTAATAATGGCATCAACCTCTCCAATGTGTTTGTAAGGATTAAATGAAAGAATATTTGTAAAGCACTTAGCAAATTTTAAAGCACTATGTAAATACTATTAGCTATGATTATTCACTTAATTTATTCTTTTTTACTAGAAAACTAACAATATTAGAGATTAAGTACTTTAGTTCAGTCCACAGAACAGAAGACTGATCAAAATTCAAATAGCCTTTTTCTATTGGTTTTGGAGAATCAACAATTATTTTACTATGCCTAGAAGGTAGGTATGGCCAGCTATGCATAATTCTAGGCATATCAATGGTGTCCAGGAAGTGCCAGATTTATCAACAACAAAGCAGTGAGAGTTACTTAAAAAACTTTTGTGTATCAAGAGTTCACTGCAGATTAGTGAATCAATGTGCTAGAAAAAGAAAATATCTCAACTTTGAGGGAAATTCCAAAATAATTTCCTCTGCAAACTTGAAATGACTACCCAAAATATTGTGATAAGCCAATGTCTTACCAGAGCCAAAAAAAAAAAAAATCTTGTTGGGGTCTGCCAAATGTTCAATGTAGCCATGAACTCTTACCTGTGCCTGTGCCACTCTTTCACTCTCCTAGCCTCCCATGCAGAGATGAGACTAGGGACAGGAAAATGGGCAACCACC